ATCGAGATTTTATCACATACCCGCTAATTAATTCTGTATTGCAATGTTCTGCCAACTCGTTAAATTATAAATTAAGTTTTCTACGTCACTTCGTAGACCTAAAATATCACTCAACTAGGCCAGTCAGGCTCAGGAATTTAACATTTGGAGCCCTGTATCCACTAAGCGAATTTTATACCTTGTGATAACTCTGCGTAAGAATTAAAATTTCGGGAAAAATTTCAGCCATAAGTCTTTTGACAAACGTTTCTGTGTTTGATCAAACCTTACAACCAACCATTTTCCTTAAATTGCGCACAAATCACCAAATCGCTTAATACCTCACTTGTAATTTCAAAGTATTGCCTAATGTAATACCAAATTTTAAAAAACTTCCGTTGAATATTATAAAATTTGTGTCAAGTAAACTGTGACGTGAACGTTAAGATTTGTTTTATTCTCTTAAAAGCTCGCGAAACCTCAACAATTCAGAAGCGTCACGTGAAAGTGGATAGATAATTACAATATTCTGCTCTTATTGGTATTAAAATAGCAAACATTTAAAAAATGCCCCAACTAACATACGAGAGTGTTTCAGAGTATTTAGATTATTGTTTAGGGTTTGTTTAATAGGAGAGACCTACAGAAATAAAGCTGGCAAGTTTAATTTTTTATAAGTTTTTGTATTTTCTTAATTTCAGTTTCCTTTAGAATAACTGGTACAGGCATTTCAGTCTTAGTAAAATTCACTAGTTATTGTAGAATGTCTACAGATTTAATTTGTTTTTAGTTTAAAAAGTACTATTTTCACTCAATTTAAAATAGATACACGTTTTTAAAACTCCTCTGTCGATTTCTCTAATAATGTCCCGTTTACAAATAATTTGTTTAATTTATGCAAATTTCAAAAATTTTATGCATTGAAACAAGACAGGATTTTAGTAAAATTTACACTTTCTTTTAAAAATCTCTACATATTTTCTGCATCATTTTACTATTGCACAACTTCAGTTGTACGAAATGCTATCTCGTAATTAAGAAAAACTTCAATAACTTATACTGCGTAATTATGCCCCGTTATTTAAACTTACTTAGCAGCAGAGTCCATGAATTAATGTTTTATGGTTAAAATATATGTTATAGTTAGTCGTATGTTAGTAATTAGCTAGAATTAAGTGAAATAATGAAATAACGTGATGAATGAATAATATGAATGACGTGAACGTGAATATGAATGAAGTGAACAATATGAATGCATAACGAAATTCCTTAAACATAAACTGCTTTAAATTTGCTCATCCAGGCATAATTGCATTAAAAAAAGGGANGGTTTCCAACTAGCGGCCCGGTGGCCGCATCCGCCCCCCGAAGCCTTTTTTGTGGCCCGCGAACAAAAATATATTAGTTGTCATTCTTTTGCGGACAATTTTCGTAAAAAATCTATGGGTTTAAAATACCTTTCTCATTAATAAAAACCTAATTTCTTAGTTTCTGTGAAATTTATCATACCGACAGTGCAAAAAATTATTTCTCAGGTTTTGCATTCAAGAAAATATTTATTCAAATACAAAAATAAGTGTATGTTGCTCTTTTTTATTTTATTTTTTTGTATTTTGTGAATATAATTTAGCATGTGTGTATCAGAAATTTTACGATTTAACTTTTTGAAACCACATTTTGGACGAAAATATTTACACATACATCTGTAAATTTTAAATTTAAAATGTAAATATCTATCCTCTGGTGGTGGAAGCAGACAAACCTCAATATTGTCATTAAATATTTTGTGTGCTACTATGTCAGTTTTAATACCAACCATTTTAAAGTTTTATATCTTAACAATTAGATATTTGTTGCACATTAATTGTTTAATACATGGGTGCACATTAAGATTATTGTAGCCCGAATTTAATATGCAATTAATATTTTTAAAAATCGACTTCTCATTTTAATTTGTAATTCAATATTTGTTTTTTACAAATTTGTAAAAATCTGACAGTAGTATTTAATGTTCCTTCAAACATAAAAAGAGTCCTACATACAATTTTGTTAAAGTTGCGGCCCGCCATTTGATTTATGTTTTTTTATTGTGGCCCCCGGCCTCATGTAAGTTGGAAACCCCTGGTCTAGAACATACCGAAACTTCCGATTCACACTTGCACACTTTTGCTGCAGATCGATGTCCACAACTTGCGTAGACCTATATCATGAAATATAACCGCGCTTACTAGCTGCACTTCATTCAGCTGTCTTATAATCGATGTCTTAATATTTACGCGCTATCAGATTTAAATTTGAATCTCTGCAATTATAAAATGATACAGTTGCAATTTTGATATAGTATCTCAAGATTTACTTTGGTGTATCAAATTTTTATGGCACTCTTCTTAAAATGGCGTTACCATGTTTGTTTGCTTTGAGTTAAGCGGTACAATTTTTAAAGTTTAATGCCTAAAAGTAGATGAGAATTTCATATAAATTTTAATTCTTAGAAAGTTAGACTTAAAACAGTTCAGATTCCGAAAGTTAATTTAACATTTTGTATAATATAACCCTGGTGTTCTAACGTTATTGAATTTTAAATTGGTGTAAAAATTTCTAGCCTTATAACAATGTTTAGCTTAGGTTGAACCGTAAATGAATAAAAATTTTGAGATGAAATTTTTAGGAATTCGCAAATCTGCATTTCATATAATACACACGCTTTAAATATTAAACAAAGCTTATTGTTATCTATGTCATTTATTATTATAGAAGTATTAAACGCATAATGAACATACAAGAAAATTTTACTGAAAAATTTTTTAAAAAAATTAATAGATTCAGAAAATTAGTTTATACTTTACCTCGTGGATTTTTTCGGCTTTTCTTCAAATTGTCGATTCATGTTTATAGCGGAAACTTTCCTTCTCTGATTAAGAACCTATATTTTTAGCACTTTCGATTTTATAAAAAAAAACTAATTACTGTGCGATTTACTTGCAATAACTAGTTTAGTTTAAAAAATATGGGTTCGAGAGATTTTGAAATAATCATTTGATTCATTACATATTCACTTTACACAGCATCAAAGTCAGATTTTTGAAATCTTAAGTTAACATTTAAAAATTCTACTAACTTCGTTGGCTATAATTTAAAAGGCACGCAGGTAAATACACATATACAAAATATCTTTTGCATTTTATTAGAGCCATATACACGTTGAAAGATTTATTTTATTTCTAAACATATATTTTAACATAGTTATTCATTTTTAAATTCAGATAAATCTCTTGGCACATTCTTTCACATTTTTGAACAGATTTAGACTTTCGATGCAATATTAAAATGTTCAAATTTTGTTGTCTAACTTTTATTGAAACTTTGTCATAAAGTAAATTCTAAAATCTGATTTGGATCTTTAAGAACGTTATGAATTATGTACCCATTTTCGAAATCATGAAAACAATTTTTTTAAATCAGATTAAGGGGTATCTGTTCTGTAATGATTGTTAAATTTATTCTTTTAACTAAGCTCCACCATGCTTACTTCAAAAACTATTTTTTCCACCCAATACCCACTTTCCTAATTTTAGAGTAGCTTAAGTAAAGTTAATTCTCTATTGGATATGTACTATTTATATGAAGTTTCTCATCACTTAATGCCTAGCAGCTAACATCCATTATCCTTTAATAGCTATAAAAGTTTAAAAAGATCCGTTGAATATTATAAAATTTGTGTCAAGTAAACGGTAACGTGAACGTAAAGATTTGTTTTATTCTCCAAAAATCTCGCGAACCCTGAACAATTCAGAAGCGTCACGTGAAAGAGGATGGATAATTACAAATAGACAATATTCTGCTCTCTTATTGGTATTAAAATAGCGAACATTTAAAAAATGCCCTAACTAACATACGAGACTGTTTCAGGGTATTTAGATTATTGTTTAGGGTTTGTTTAATAGTAGAGACCTACAAAAATAAAGTTGGAAAGTTTAATTTTTATAAGTTTTTATATTTTCTTAATTTCAGTTTCCTTTAGAATAACTGGTACAGGCATTTCAGTCTTAGTAAAATTCACTAGTTATTGCAGAATGTCTACAGATTTAATTTGTTTTTAGTTTAAAAAGTACTATTTTCAATCAATTTAAAATAGATACACGTTTTTAAAGCTCCTCTGTTGATTTCTCTAATGTCCCGTTTACAAAAAATTTGTTTAATTTATACAAATTTCAAAAATTTTATGCATTGAAACAAGACAGGATTTTAGTAAAATTTACACTTTCTTTTAAAAATCTTTACATTTTTCTGCGTCATTTTACTATTGCACAACTTCAGTTATACGAAATGCTATCTCGTAATTAAGAAAAACTTCGATAACTTATACTGGGTAATTATGCCCCGTTGTTTAAACTTATTTAGCAGCAGAGTCCATGAATTAATGTTTTATGATTAAAATATATGTTATAGTTAGTTGTATGTTAGTAATTAGCTAGAATTAAGTGAAATAATGAAATAACGTGATGAATGAATAATACGAATGACGTGAACGTGAATATGAATGAAGTGAACGTGAATATGAATGAAGTGAACAATATGAATGCATAACGAAATTCCTTAAACATGAATTACTTTAAATTTGCTCATCCAGGCATAATTACATTAAAAAAAGGGAACTAAATTTAAAGTTTAATCTTCCAAATTTGTTTAATTTTTGAAACTTTTGTTTACTTTTTTAGAGGAAAAGCAAATCGAGGCATATCTATTTAAAGAATTTCGTTATGCAAAATAGACTCTGCTGAGAAATAAGATTAAAAACGAAACTAGTTTTGTATAAACCTACAAGTCTATTTATAAAAATATATCGAACTTATTTAATTAGAAATATAATTCTAGTTTATCTTAAGGAATTATCTGACGAAGTTGAAATATTTGTTCCTAACAAATTTCTTCAATCCATATTAGGTGAGTTTTAACTATAGATAAAGTATTCAAAAAATTTCCGCTCTACCAAAATCTACCAGTTTTTTTTCCCCCCCAGAGTGACAAAATACGAAAATTTTTTGCCTAAACGTATACTTCTGAACAATAACTTGATTGTTTAGTTTTTATTTTTAAATTTTTAACAATTTTGTTCTTGGACTTTTGATATAGAGATTAATTTTTTAATTTAATAGAATACGTATAATTGTTATTGCCCATATATACTACATAAATGCTTGACAAATTTCTTTGTGTAGAGGAATTTATATTTATAAATACGTACATAAAAATACGACGACAGACTAAAGTGTGAAGTATTAACATGTTAAATATACACCATTTACTGTTTTTATTAAGGCTCACTATAAGGCGAAAAGAAATGTTAAAATGTAGTGCTATGACACGTAATTGCTAGTCTTAAGCTTTAAGGGTTTTAAATAATGTAAGCGGTACTTACAAACAGATTCTGAATTGTCAGATAATTTTTTTATATATTTGGAACAGAATGTGTTACCTCAAGTATTAAAATTTGTACTTTATAACAGTACATTGCTGACGAGGCGGGATTTATTAAAAAGTATTTTATTAATACAATGCGCTTTATTTAGGTAAACCTAAATATGCGATATTGAATGCTTTAGTTCTTTGGTTTACAAGCATCTCGATACCTCAAATACTTTTCAGCTTTCTAATTTTAAAGATTGTGTATTTAATAAACTATTTCGGTTTTTCCTTGTACTCTTGAAATTTACATTGATATAAGTTTAAGAGTTTATTTAGTATATTTTAATAGCCGACGAAGTTGAGCGATCACTTATAGATTCGATATAAATTTTATAACCATGTAATATATTACCATATAATTTTATCTAAAGTTTGACCTAAACTCTTATATTGCGTGTATTTAAAATCGTAGATATCATTTTGAAACTAGCAAATTTACTTCAACTGATTCTCAAATATTGCGATAACAATCACGCATCTGAAAATTTGGTGGAGATTTATTGAAAAAGAATATTTAATTAGTAGTATACCATAATAAAATTTTATATTAAGCTTTTTTAATTTAAATATGTTTTGTTTGAAAATCGAACGCCAAGTACTTTAGTTTAATTCCCGTAATTTAATTTTCATTTCAAATTTAAACTGGCACTCTCAAACAATCAATTTTTTAATATTACAACTTCACATTTTAGCTCTTGTACTGGACAACAGTTTGAAGACAAAGCACCAATAAATCGAAATTAGTTTTCATTCGTTGAAAGTTAATTCTCATAAATATTCTAGGTTTATTTTTAAGACATTAAGTCATAATTTATAAAGAGCAGTAGCTAACAATAAGCTTTTCTTAAAACGTTTTGACACGCAATTGTACGTACAAACACTAAGCAGGATCAATAAGTACTTAGTGTACGCAAATTAGATGCACGTTCTCTAAGACTTTAAATTTAATTTATGATATTTAATGAATAAATAATTGACTATTAAAATAATCCATGAATAAAATGTTGAATAGAATAAACTTTAGATTAATATGATTAATTATTTTTCGTATTTAAGAAAATCTTAGAAATAAATTTACTTTAATACTGAGTACTCTTAAATTGCATGCAAGGTATTTCAAAATATGGATTTAGATTTCTTAAGTTCCATTAAAAAGTATGTAGCTTAATTTTTAGGAGAAAAAATAAATTACAATATTCATAAAATACAAGTGTGGAATTTTCATATTAGAGAAGAACATAAAAATAAACCTTGAGTTGAAGAAATAAAGTTGGTTTAACTCTACAGTTGGGTCATGACAACTAGGCAACTTAAGTAAGTCATCTTGCCACACATGGTCCTCATGGCAACTAGGTCATTTATTGGGATCATCTTGGCAACTAGGTCAGTAATCCTTGCACACATGGTTATCTTGGCAACTGTGTTAGTAATTGAGGACATCTTGGCACAAATGTTTCTCATGGAAAATAGGTCAGAAATGGAGCTCTTGGCAAAGTGTTAAAGTGTCCAGTACAGTGTCCGTTGAAGTGTCCAGTACAAAGCCTAGTGTTAAAAATATAAAATGCCTTTACTGTCACGGCAAAATTAACATAATTAGTTAGAGAGGCAATGTTCAATATCGGTGCATCGAATCAAGTTTTATTGCAGTCAAATATTCGATAGAGTTCATTTGAGTTAGAACTATTTGCCAAAAGACTTTGTGCCGAATTCATTAGACCTCCCGATAGTTATGAACAGATTTAATCAGCAGACGTTAAAAACTACCCCTCAACCACTAAAAAACTAAAAAGGTGAAATAAGTTTTTAAGGTAAGGCACAATATTAACTCAATTAACTCCCGTCCTAACGAGTTAAAAATTAAAAACTTGACAAACTTACCTAGCTTATGTGAAATGCTACCCAGGATGATGCTTACCTCAATGATGCTCACACACCCTTCCCCCTCCTCCCCCATAGTAACATATGTGGGAGACCCCAAAACATTTCTAAGTAATTGCAGTAAACCAAGTTTTCAAGAAACTGAAACTCCCTTAAGGTACGAGACTGGCTTCAACATATTTTAACAAAGGCTAAATTTAATTTGTTAGCAAGGATACGAAAATTAAAAATTTATGAAATATATTTCAAAACAAATTTGCTCAAAAACTACGAATACTCCAATGCCAAAACCTCGACAACAAATTATAATGCATACATTTCAATATAATTTCTCTAGATTAGTGTAATTGCATGAGTTTTGAACTGAAATCTTTTTTAAAAAATGAAATATAACTAAATATATTATTTATGAATATTGAATCTTCGCGAAGAAAATTTTTAAATACACTTAAAACGTAAAAAAAATAAGAAATTCACTCATACCCTAGCGTTTAGTGCAAATAATGGATAACATACAAATCTACAAAAATTTCAAATTTTGTAATAAACTGTCGTGATAAAAATTTCAAAATCCACGTTTAGAAAAGAAGTTCAACTTACACGTTCATAAAGTTCATTGAGTAAAAAATTCGAAAGTCTTAAAAATATAATTCAATCAAATGAAAATGTTTAAATACTCTAAAAAAAAATAATGTTTATTTTTCAGGAGTCTACTTCCGGCTATATTTGTCAGTACACTAAAAACTAATCAAACACCATTTATTAAAATCTGACATCAAAAACTTAGATATTTTGGAAAGCTAATTAACCAAGTCCAAACATAAATAATGAAAAATTCAAATTTCTGTCGAAATTTTTTCTTTTCACCCAGTTGGATACCAGAATAATTTAATTTTTGAAATAGATTTCAACAATAACTTTCACAAATCAATCTCGGATCAAACACTGTATTAGAGTTTAAATACACAAAATAAAATTTATATTCAACAATTTCTTAATGAGATCAAAATACTTACCCATCTATAAACCTTAAAGTCATAATCAGTATTCTGCCGCTTTTAATCTAGCATTATTAACTATCTGTAGTAGAGTATCAAGCTGTAAAGTCATAATCAGTATTCTGCTGCTAGGTATATTCTTTCAAACTAGCATTAGTTACTTCGTGTGGTAGAGTATCAAACATCAATTTCAAGGAAATCACGGTAGCTTCTTGGATTCTGCAATAAATAAGAAAATGTAACTAAAAATATAATCGTTTAATATGGTTACGTTTCATTAGTTAAATATTTAATGCTGTGTACACAGTGTCATAAGAATTACGGAAAAACTATATTAACCCCCTGAAAAAGTATCTTACTAAAAAGCTAAAAACATGTAACAATTTAAATGTACTTTTATGTCAATACAAATATATTGTTTAATAATAATTTAAAGCAATATTTTCAATTTCTTAAATTTAAAATGACGTAAAACTCATAACTAAGTCTCGTTTGAATAACACTATTTTTGATCAAGTATTTTCCTCAAACCAAACCTGTACCTGTTAAATTTCGTAGCTGTTTGCTTAGAAATTGGTATTCTTGGTGGCAGAGAGGATGTTTTTGGCTTTATATAGTACTTTCACCAGAAGCGAACACTTTGTTCTGCCTACATCACATAATAATCGACCATTTCGCTATCTTTAGGAAAAGCATGTGAACAATCCTGAACAAGGTTGCTATTTGGCTATCTCAAGACAAAATTATTTATTTCACAATCTATGTGCATTTTTTTTAACATTAAATATTTCATAAATTAGATGATACTTCTCTTTTGAGTTTGTCCTTTAAGATATTTGCTGGGAAAAGAGCAGTTTAAATTTAAAATATATTTAATTAGCTTGAGTAACGAAAGGTATAACAGAATTCACTGCATGTGCCTGGCACGCATTAAGGGTTGTCTCAATTTCAAGAGCGGAGATGTTTCTCCTCTTACTCCCTCGATGAAATGAACACAGCGTCCTGGTGAACGCACTATACCTAAGGGCCGCTGACACTCGACGTTATGTGCATACAAAACATTTGTTAAATGAAAAAGTGCACTTTAAGAATTTTAATGGTGCTTTACTTCAAGTTAAATCTTTTAGACACATTTTAAAGCTATAGCCTTCGTAAATTTGCCATTTACCATAAATTTCGCACTAACCTTTCACTGATAGGCCTGTTAGTACGATTAAGACAAGTGAAAAGAAGATCCCTACAAAAACATTAACTTAATATAACATCACCAGCTTAAAATTATAACGACATTTATATGAAAACCTGAAGTTGAATGCGAAAATGTCTATAAACTGAATATGTAGATTTTCCCCAAAAAATTATTAAAATTAAACTTTTAATTATAAAAATAAACAAATGATTATAATAGGTAAATACCGGTGCTTCTAAGCAAAAGCCATCGTAAACTTTTAAACATATGTTCTCGTACAATGAACATAAGATTTTTAAATGTTCAATTTGTAGAAAACATAAAAGCAATCATAACTAAAACAAATCGAAATATTTTAAGTTTTTAAATTTGCTGCTGAACATTGTATACTTATAAGTAATGTATCACTAATATTAGATTAATATTAGTCTCAAATTCAGAAAAGAAAGAATTTAAAGACTTAATATTTTTGCACATCTTAAAAACAATTCTTTTCTAGTCCGAATTTTCGAATGACATTAACTGTTCAGAATTTTAAATCAGTTTTCGTCAGAAGTTATGAAAAATGGCTCGATACAGATAGTTACCGAACACAATTCCATATTGGTGTTCGTAGCTTAGCTAAGTTGGGCTACGATGGAAATTTAAAGTACGCAGTAACCTCCCGAATAAACGCGCCTTTTAGAAATTTGCAATGCTGTACGCATTTAAGTAAGAAAAAACACATAAAATTAAAATTAGTCAACGATGATTCTAAAACCTTTAGTACACAACCAGTAAATTACATACAACAATCTGATTTTATGTTTCAGCGTGATATTATTTAACACATTTAACCGAAATTAACAAATAGTTTTCAGATTTTAATGCCTTGGGGTAAATGCTCTATTAAAATAGAGTAGAATCTCCCTATAAAGAGAGATTTTTAATCTGAAAGTTGCGCAACCCTTTAATGTTTTCTATACTAATAGATCAACTTTCTAATTTTCATAAATTTCAAAGAAAGTTACTACANCGGACAACAGTTTGAAGCAAAAACACCGCCGGCTAAAAGTTGAAACCATTTCCTCAACTGCAGCAAGCAAACTAATTAACTGAATAACTAAATTAAACTGTGTTACCTGGTCAAAGAAAAGAACAGAAGTGGTCAAAAGACACTAAGTAGTATGGGAGTTGTGAAATATAAAATATGAGAGACCTAAAAACCTAACTTGATTGCAAAAGACATTTTCTTTTACCAAACTAAAGCTTATGCAAGTTAAATTCGTTTAAGAAATGTTGGTATACATTAATCTTTATTAAACTGTTAATCATAAATAGTTCAAATTAGTGGGATTAAAAATATTTAGAGTAAAAAAAAAAGTTATGCAACTCAGTTTAACATAGCGAGTTAATACCGTTGTATGAAATATACATACGTATACAAATTTATAAATATACGATATTTCTTAATATTGAGAGGGAATTCTCTTTACAGTTTTAAACAAAAACGAGCTTCGAAAACTCAATATTGGAGAACACAAAATTTTAAAAATTACGTTCAGTATTTGTTAGTTTTATTTTAATCATGCTCAAAAAATACGAAGAAAAATATTTTTTTAAATTATCCAAGTGGGTCAATTATTAAAACAGGTATACTAATCTTTTAGAAAAAGTAATCACCCAACTATGGAGAATTAAAGCGTACCACTAATAATCACGAAAAACTTAATTGCAAAAAGTATAAAAATTAGAAAAACTTACTTTAAATCAAGAGAAAAGTCATCTATAAACGAGCATCAAAATATTGGTAATAAACTTATTGTTTGAAGATCTTGAGAACAAAACTAAGTCTTTGGATGAAGGCCTTGAAGAAAATTTCAGGCATAACGGTATCCATCTTAGTATTAATAATTAGACTAAACACACAAGACTACGATTTTCAAATGACACAGTTCGGAGACTTTCGGTCGTTGTAGTGGGACTGGGCGTACGGCCCTTACAGTTCGGAGACAGGAAGAGCTCATTCGATACCGGCCGTGCCTCTTATTTTATATCCCTTAATATCGATTATTTTCTACCAAAGTTGAGTTGAGTTGATGATGTGGTAGGTTATTTACGTCACACTAGAGCTCCACCATACGTTATTAACAACTGTCTTTGAAATATCTCTGAGGATGATCCTCCGCCGATTTCACTCTCGTTTTGGTGGCCCTATAACCATCGTGCCAAGTCGAGCACTCACTGTACGGCAGTACAGTTTAACGGGGACCGATACCTCACATCCTCGGTCCCTACGAATATTGATCAAAGTGGTCACCCACCCGCTAACTGATCGCAGTCAGTGATGCTTGACTTCGACGTTCTCCTGGGAACCGTGTCTTTACGAACAATTCACTGCGGGACTCAAATATTTGAATAACTGAATACGGAATAAAGAACTGAAGAAAAACCATACATACATAAATTAACAGGCTAGTACAATTAAATATAAGAACGGGCAATGTGCCTCTAATTTCGAAAGTAAAGTTATCCAAAATGCAGGTGGACATGAAAACCTATTGTAACATGGTTACGATTGGAATAGAACCTGCAAAATTCCACGATTAAGTGTTTTGTAGAGGACAAACTTTCATAAGCACAATATAATTTACATATTACTTTATTCTTTACATGACTTATAGGATATTAGTTTGCAACTACTAAGGTTCTTCGTGATGAGCAATTTAAACCAACAGCATTCTCTGTCGCAACTTGGGTCCCGCAGTGAAATGATCGTAAGGACTACGGTTTCCAGCAGATCACCGAAGTCAAGCATCACTGACGGATCTCGGTCAGTAAGCGGGTGGGTGACCACTTTGATCATCCTGCGTAGGGACCATGGAGCACGGTATCGGTCCTCGTTAAACTGTTCTACAGTAAAGTGCTCGACTTCGTGCTTCCCAAGCAGGGGAGCGGTCACCTCTGCAATGGATCAAAAATTGCAATGTTTTATGTTTGGATCATCTGCCGACTAGGTGGCCGAGTAGTTAGCGTGCCTGACGGCGGAGCCAATAGTTGTGGGTTTGAATCCCGCTCAGAGCATGGATGTTTCTTTCTCTCTGTGTTTTATGTCCTTTCTTCTGTGTGATTGTAGCCCGCCCTATAAACGGGTTTGTGGTTGTATGACGTGGGCGACGCTACTCCAACGCCGTGGCTTAGCCATAGGTGCTCACAGGGTAACGATAAGAGAGTAGCAATTCTGGCATTTCTGAGGCCATTGGGAAATAGATCCAAGTGCCAGCNGATCAAAGTGGTCACCCACCCGCTTACTGATCGCAGTCAGTGATGCTTGACTTCGACGTTCTCCTGGGAACCGTGTCTTTACGAACAATCCACTGCGGGACTCAAATATTTGAATAACTGAATATGGAATAAAGTATAACTGAAGAAAAATCAATCATAGATAAATTAATAGGCTTGTACAATTAAATCAAAGAACGGGCAATGTGCCTCTAATTTCGAAAGTAAAGTTATTCAAAATGCAGGTGGACATGAAAACCTAATGTAACATGGTTACGATTGGAATCGAACCTACAAAATTCAACAAGTGTTTTGTAGTAGACAAACTTTCATAAGCACTATATAATTTACATATTACTTTATTCTTTACATGATTTATAGGATATTAGTTTGCAACTACTAAGGTTCTTCGTGATGAGCAATTTAAGCCAACAGCATTCTCTGTCGCAACTTGTGTCCCGCAGTGGATTGATCTTAAAGACACGGTTCCTAGCAGATCACCGAAGTCAAGCATCACTGGCTCTCGGTCAGTAAGCAGGCGGGGGACCACTTTGATTATCCTGCGTAGGGATCATGAAGCACGGTATCGGGCCTCGTTAAACAGTTCTACAGTAAAGTGCTCGACTTTGCGCTTCCAAAGCAGGGGAGCGGTTACCTCTGCAGAGGATCAAAAATTGCCATGTTATATGTTTGGATCATCTGCCGATCAGGTGGCCGAGTGGTTAGAGTACCTGACTGCGGAGCCGCGGGTTTGAATACCGCTCAGGGCATGGATGTTTCTTTCCATCTGAGTTTTATGTCCTTTCCTCTGTGTGATTGTAGCCCGCCCTATAAACGGGTTTGTGGCTGTATGACGTGGGCGACGCTACTCCACCACCGAGGCTTAGCCATAGGTGTTCACTGGGTAACGATAAGAGAGTAGCAATTCTGAGGCCAATGGGAAATAGACCCAAGTGGCCGCCATTAAACAAAACACGAAAATGTGTTCGGATCATCCTCGGGGATGTTCCCCAGACAGTACCGCATTGTGCAGCTCTAGAGCCACGTAAATAAAGTACCCAAAAAAAAGTACTTGGAGATATTGTTGTAGTTCATTTACGTCACACTAGAGCCGCACAATGGGCTATTGGCGACGGTCTGGGAAACATCCCTGAGGATGATCCGAAGACATGCCATCATAATTTAGATCCTCTGCAGAGGGGATGGCACCCCCGATTCGGTAGCCCGACTACCTGCACGCGAATTCGAGCACTTCACGGTGGAACAGTTTAACGAGGACCCATACCGCACACCCTCGGTCCCTGCGCAGACTGATCCAAGTGGTCACCCATCTGCACACTGACCGTAGCCAGTGATGCTTGACTTCGGTGATCTGCTGGGAACCGTGTCTTATAGATCAGTCCACTGCTTGGAGATATAAATGACAAAGAAAGTCACCGGTTTTATTGCTGTATTGAAATTACATATATTTGCAGTCTTGTTTTCTCAATTTAGGCTTCTAAACCAATGTCAAGTAGGGCAGATAGAACAGTTAAGAGAAGGACATCACAAAGAATACATCCAGGGTTATGGCGGGATTCGGGCCCGCCACCTCCACGCTTCACACTGCTTTCGGCTGATACCGCTCGGTCAGAGAGGCCCGGAAATTCACCGGTTCCGCCTTCAAAGCCTCTCACACTCATTGTGTTTAGCGTTTACAATTGAACAGCATGTATGGGATTCATGGAGGTAAATTCCACTCCAAATTTAATGTCATCAAAAACAAAATGCTAATAAGCATTTACTGAATTAAATTATATTAAATATAGAAGATGTTGTTGTTGTTGTTCATTTACGTCGCACTAGAGCTGCATAATGGGCTATTGGCGACGGTCTGGGAAACATCCCTGAGGATGATCCGAAGACATGCCATCACAATTTAGATCCTCTGCAGAGGGGATGGCACCCCCGCTTCGGTAGCCCGACGACCTGCACGAGAAGTCGAGCACTTTACGATAGAACAGTTTAACGAGGACCAATACCGCACACCCTCGGTCCCTACGCAGGCTGATCCAAGTGGTCACTCACCCGCACACTGACCGTAGCCAGTGATGATTGACTTCAGTGACTTGCTGGGAACAGTGTCTCCCACTAATTGTCAGAGATCATATCTATAGTAGACTAGTTTTTTTGTTTTGCTGAGGGGATGAAGGAGGGGTTGCTTCAATTTAAGTGTTTGCTTGTTGATCTTTAGAGAAGCATTACAAGTATTTTTCTTAGTCCGTCAGTCCTTGGGATCTGCCTCAGTCAGTCGGAAGCGTCCATTAAAATAAACGAAACAAACAACACATCTGTTACCGCAAGCCACGCTTTGCAATAAGTACACGTGTTAGTATATGTAGCATATGTGTTACGATTAATGTGAATAGTCTGTTGTTATTATAACTAACCGGTCAGTATTAATAACAACCAAATAAACCGGTTAAAGTGAATAATTTAAGCGAATTCATCACATTAACCGGTTATTATTAATAAGTTAGGTCAATGTCATTCTTTCGCGTTTTTATTGGGGATATTTCCGTGTTGTGATCTGCCAGGAATTTTTTTTAAACAAAAAGGAAAAAACAAGCTTGTATATGTTTGCCCGGGGTTGGCCACGAGTTATTCCCGTCAAGTTGGTCCCTTTCTGTGGTTTCCCCTTTCTGCTGCCCAGAAGATGGCAAGACTTGGCGATTATTCAACCGCAGATCACGATACGGAAATCTCTCCGTTCTATTTTTCCCTTTGACCAAAAGAAGCGGTTATTATTAATAATAACCATATCTACCACTTTAGAAGTAACACATATAATACACAAAGAGGCACACCCCTGTCCAGAGCCGGATTATACCTTTCGTAGGCCCTAAGCACAGCCGTTTATGGGCCCTCCCCTCTTTCCCCCACTCCTCTCCTCTTTTCAAAATATATGCTAAAATTTTCTTCGTATGGAAACGTATTACGCCATTTTAGATGTATTAATTTCAGAAATGACTAAAAGGCGTAAAGCTTACAGTGATTTGTACGATAATTTCGGTTTTCTTGTTCACAAAAATTTGTCAGAATCTGAGATTGAACTAAAAGCGCAAAATTTGGTGAAAATTTACTCATCCGATTTAGAGGAAAACTTTGTAGATGAATTTTTATTATTTTCAAATTTGTATGAACATAAATCTGCACAAGAAATATTGAAGGCTCAAATTAAAGATAAACTTGTGAATACTTTTCCTAACGTTCACATTGCATTAAGAATATATGTCGATTCTTGGATCAAATGCAGAAGGAGAAAGATCTTTCTCCAGATTAAAATTGATAAAAAATTATTTGCTTTCAACAATGAATCAAGATCGTTTGGCATCGCTCGCACTTATGTCTATTGAATCCGACATTTTCCGTAGTTTGGAATTCGACAGCATAATACAAGATTTCGTTGAATCCAAAAATCGCAAAAAATTAATATGTTATATCATAAGATTCTGCAAAATAATTTATTACCGTAAAATATAATATTTTTATTTGTATCTTCATAATTTTGTGCAAAATACACTTGTTGTTTTTAAAGCTAAATTATATTTGTCAACAAATTTTTTTCTCCCAAGTTTTTCGTAGGCCCTAGGCACGTGCCTAGTGTGCCTATAGGTTAATCCGGCCCTGCCCCTGTCCCAATGCAATATAAACCGTTTAATAACATAGTAAAAACTGCATTGGTTATTATTATTAATAACCGGTTGAAGTGAATAATTTGCGATTTT